GTAGTATACGATGACCGTGTAGTATACGATGACCGTGTAGTATAAGATGACCGTGTAGTATACGATGACTGTGTAGCATACGATGACCGTGTAGTATACGATGACCGTGTAGTATACGATGACCGTGTAGTATACGATGACCGTGTAGTATAAGATGACTGTGTAGTATACGATGACTGTGTAGCATACGATGACCGTGTAGTATACGATGACCGTGTAGCATACGATGACCGTGTAGTATACGATGACCGTGTAGTATACGATGACCGTGTAGTATAAGATGACTGCGTAGTATACTATGACCGTGTAGTATACGATGACTGTGTAGAATAATGGGTATTCTATGCCCACGAGACTACACGTTACACCGCGTTATCCCACATATTATTCTTATCATGAAAAAAGTGATAAAAATGTGGCAACCTTAGGCGCTCAATCTCAAGTTCTTTCTTTAAAATTCTGTCAACCATCTCCCAATCTTCTCCACCCCACTTGTTTTGGAAGGCTGTAACATTTAAACCACCAAAATAGTTCCAATCAGTCTTGTAGGTACCTGTAAAGATTAACAGGCAATGCCATTTAATGTCTTTGTTGTACAAATTCAGTTTGCGCCACTGTGCGCTTTGATTGGCTGTGAAAATGTACGGTGCTCACGTGCCGTGACGGTTAGGTTTGCCCCGAGTAGAGCGATTTTTGTTAGACTTTTGCAAAGTCCTTCGTACGTCTCCGTTTAGAGCGTTTTCACGTGACGTCACAGCGGTCATCTTGGTGTACCAAAACAATACATGTTCTATCTTTCGGGAATTAAACTCTCTTTTTTTGCAAAACTTATTCAAAAAGCTTCTATTGTCTCTATTGTTTCTATCTCTTTCGCCAATATGGCTGCCTTTTTGCGATTGCGTGAGTGAAAAACTCTCTACACACTACTTTCCAGCTGATCTGAAAAAGTGACGTAGAAATGACGTCACTACAAGACTGAGGTGTCATGAAGCCTTACCAAATTGACCAGCGAAAAATAAAAACCTGTCCACCATTGCAATAAAGATATAAAACTCATTAGTTATTTTGTCGCTGTTATCAACCTCATGTGAGCAACTTTTCTTCTTCTTCATTTTGTGGCCTGGAAATCCATAATTTCAAGAAGAAAATTGACACCTCAGTTTTGACAATTTTCTCGATTCTGATTGGCTGACATTTTCTCTCAGATCAGCCGGTTGTTATTCCCCTAAGGCTCAGTGATTATGGTGTTAGTTTACCTCGCCGCTCGAAGACTCGCGGCTTGTAAAATATTCCACGGATAACTACTTCGCTTTTGGCGAATAATTTTTAAATATCACTCTTTTGCTTATGTGACTTTGTATAGTACTTTCCTTTTCCTTTCTACATAGTTTTTTAAAAATTATTTCGTGTATACTCGTAATTTAATTTACGCAATTCACTATTTTGGCTGTGATGTAATAAACCAGTTTCAAGCTCCAAATTACAGAGCTCCTTGATTACAGACTCATTCACACAGGGTTAGCCTGTATCAGTGTTTAAATATTCACAAATACCAACGGTAAAGTAAAGAATAAACCACTTCAACAATACAAACGCTTTGAAATTCCATGGACCTTGACTGGAACAAGTGAATATTCTTCACAAAATCGAGTCTAACCCTGTGTAAATGAGTCTGTAATCAAGGAACACAGGGGTTTGGAACTCAAAAATGGCCTATTCCTAAATAAACGTAGCTATCTATCTATCTCTGTCTATCAAATGCATTTACTTACTGAAAACTCCAAAAGCATAGCTATCCCAAAAACCCGTGACAGAAGTTTGTTCTGTCTCGGGTCTTGAGCAGTGTTTCAAACGGAAGACAACGGGAGTGTAACACATCTTGCCTTGTATCGTGTGCTTTAAAAATAACAATAATCGTAAAATATTATGATTGATAGAGGCTTACAGTCATTAGGTAATTTATTGGTGTGCATACGTCTTTGTACATAACTTATGGCGGTGATGGCGGGGAATTTGCGATAGGAAGCAGTAGTGATAGGTGGTAGTAGTGGTGGTAGTAGGGGCCCACCCATATTAGGGGGAAAAAACAGGAATTTCAGCAGTTACTACGAGGATTACGAGGTATTCCACTTTTTTTTACAAAGAAAAAGTCTAATCGTAAATTTTATATTCGATATACAGGTTGAACCTTGAACGCGTGTAACATGAAAAACGGCTACTGGGGGACTGGGGCGGGATCAGAGCCACGAATAGACCTCTTTCAAATTCGTACAACACCGCTGTGTTCCTTGATTCCAGATTCATGAGTGCAGTGTTAGCGTAAATTTAACGTCAAAATATTCACATATGCCAAAGGTCAAAAAAATGCAAAACGTAAGGTGAACACGTAAATATTCTGCACAAAATCGAGGCTAGCCCTGCGTAAATGAATCTGCAGTCAAGGAACACAGCGGTATTTTACGAGTTCGAAAAAGGTTTATCTCAACGAGAACTTACTTTTCGCACGCTATCAAAAATATCATTGGGCATGTGCAAATGAAGGTCGGTGAGGAAAACAATGCTGTTGGGATCCTTGATGCTGTCCACGGCAAGTTCGATGGCAAAGGTTTTGTGGAATTTTCCATTTTGTTTGATRACTTCGAAATTGGTGATACCATTCCTAGGTGAACAAGCTTCGTTAGTATATATGCAGTATATATGCAGTATACACTCAATTCAAGAATCGTTGTCGGGTTCAGAAACATAGAACATAGAAGCTGAGACCGAAATGGCACATKRGAAGTACGTTGATTAGATTCATGCTTGCGACCCGTGGCATCATAATACGCGTTTGGCATTCTAAACCGACTGCATGGATGGCGCAAATGAATAAATTATAATATAATTATGTCATTTTCCACGTGCCATTTCGGTCTCAGCTTTTATGTCATATGTTTCTGAACCTGATAACGATTCTTCAATTGAGTGTATATACACCGAATCGAAATATGGCGACCAATTTGAATTCTTCTCACCACTGACTAGCGACTTACTAGCCTCGTGTTCATGTGCAAACATAAAAGCGTTTTCAAAGTCTTTCAGCTGCATATATGCTTGGCTTTTGTATATGCCAGGCTTTGAAGACTCGTTTTTAACAAATGAATGTAAATCGAATGAAATCAAGAATCCAAAAATAAAGTCATTAATAACCTCTTCGTGGTCACGCTTGAAGTGGTTTGACTGTAACGTTATTTTTATCTTACCTCTTAAATTCCTTTTCAGGTTCGAGTCCATTGTTTCCATAATCCACTATTATAATCCTGATCATTTCATCGTGCGTTTCTCTAATCACTCGACCGATATTTCTGATATAATGTTCGACCCAAGGACCTTGGTTTTTGGTGTTTATAATGACGTTAATCAAAACCCGAGGCTTCCAGATCATTCCTTCAGGTATGCAAAGAACGGAGCTGTTTTGGGGTAGAAAAAAATACCCTGATACACGGTGATAAAGATGGGTGTTGTTATTTTGTAGGACCATTTCCAGGAAGAATCGATTTCCGAGTTTTGCATCTACATTGCGTTCTACCCTCACTATGTTCGCCAGAGAAAATTGCCTGAAAAATAGCACGTAAGATATATAATTGGCATGGTGTTGCTATTCTTGCTGTTATATCATCTTATTATATCTAACCAATAGTGGTGGAGTTGTACTAGTGATAGTATGGTAATAGTGCTTCGTGTTAGTGTATTAGATGCTGATAGTGGTGGTAGTGGTGATGGATGATAGGACTGGTTAATTTATTGGTGGTAGTGGTGGATGAGTATTGGTGCTGTGATAGTAGTAGTAGTAGAAATAGTAGTGGTTGTGGTGGTAGCAGCAGCGCTAGTAGTTGTATTGGTAGCAATGGTAGCGGTAGCGGTAGTGGTAGTGGTAGTGGTAGTGGTAGTGGT